GAGCGTGTGTGTATGTGTGCACGTGTGTGGAGGAACACGACCACATTTATCACTTCAGGCTCAGTTTGTATTAGTGTACTGTGTGGCTTGTATGCCTGTTTTCAGTGAGAGTGTGTGCACATGTATTGGTGTGTCTAGCCACAGAAACACGTTTATCACAAGGTTAATTTTTTTCTCATCTAGACTTGAGCCGGTTGACAATAGCATCAGGAATCACAGTTTGCATTTACCATGATTTCTATTAAGTTGGATGATTTAAATGTCAGAAAACACTCTGTGTGCGGTTTTAAGACACACTAAAGGAAAGCATGTGTCTCATAATCTGTGTTTTTTTTTAATGTGTAGTCAAATATCAGTCCAGATGTCTGTCTTGCAAAGCAGGATATCTTGTTTAGCCACCTCTCTTTAAGCTTAGTTTGATTTAACCCTGAACAGGGTCACCTGATCTAACTCAGGGCAGGTTAAGTTCAGCATTTTGGATCATAAACAGCTCCTGGACTAATCCGGGCCGAGCTTCTGACCAATCAGGGACTGACAAAGATGGCGACTCTGGTCACTTTTTTTTCTTTGTGATGTTTGTTGTATCAATCACTTGAAGAATACCCTTATTTTTAGCAGAGGAACCAAATCATACTACATAAATATTATCACTTTATCAAAGTAGCCATCAAAGGCAATATCCTCTTATTTTGGAGGTGCCTTTGTAGAGTTACGGTATTTTCTTTTTTTTGTGGCACTTGTATATAATTGTTTCATATGAAGGAAGTTGCAGTTGTGTCATTGGTTTTATCCCAGCATGGACTGTTTTGTGGAGAGGTGTGAACTGTATTCACAGCAGGGGGTTCTCACCCCTCCCCTTTTGTCCCTCATTGCTCACAAGCAGCTCGACACAGAGTCACAATGCTTCACACACAGAGAGCCAACAGTGTCCTAGTTAACCTTATAACAGAGTTAAGGAGGGGATTATTTAATTCATGTGATAATATTAACAATATGTTGTTGCTGTCCAAAGAAAAACAGGTATCTCCAAATTAGTAACTTGACAGGAGAGGGCAAATACTTTATTTACTTTCAGTGTAAGTTAATATAAAGAAATTTTATTCCAAGCAATTTTGGAGCATTTCTATTGGTCTATTTATGATGAAATTTTCATCCAATCTGAAAATTGCATCTGCTGTTTTCGAATGATGAAGAAAAGTAAAATGAAATACATGTTTTTCTTTGGGTGATGACAATATGTAATATAATAATGAAAAACGTCTGAGTCGATTTTCATTACACCAGTGGAATGGCCACTAGGTGGCATGCAGAAAGAAGTTAAGAATATAAGAATATAAAGAATATCAAGCAGTTATCACTCCAGTTAGCACAAATGTGGAGGCAGTGGAGACAGCATTGTTTACAGCTATCAATGCTTTACTCTCTACATATTTTTCATCTTTTTCTTTTATTGAAAATATCTTTTGTTCCACATGATTGGGTTCCATGTGCTTTTCTGCGCAGGCTTGCAAGAATTAAGCATAGCTTGAGTATCTAAACCTTGCTTATGTTACGACCCCTGGTCGTAATATACCTTTTATGTGCCTTCTGCTGGCATTTTGTGTTTTCCCTGTTGTGTCCCCTTATGTGCAGGTACATGATTGGCCAGATGGGGGCGCACAAAGGTATAAGAGGTCACCGAGCCACCATCTAGAGACGTTCAGGGCTCTTTCCCCTTTGACCCGACCTGGAAGAACATCTGTCCAGACCAGCCTGGCACTCTGTCTGCTTTGCTTTGTGACTGTTTGATAATGCTTTAAGAGCTTGGGGAAAGTAGGGGATGGGTGCCATGTTGTTTTGGTTACCTTTCCTCCTGTTTGAGTTAGGGAGGGTAGCCTATATGTCTTTTGTTTCTTTTGATTTCAGTTGAGTTAAATGTGAAATCATTAGTTGTTTTGTTTGTTATTTTGGCGAGTGCTCGTCCCTGAAGCCATCACTTCAACTTGTCTGAGCTTTGAAGAAAATAAACCTGTCATTTTCTGGTTTAAATGGTGTCCGGTGTCTGGTCTGGCAGCAGGTCTGGGGAGAGAGCCCATTCTCACTCTCTGTTACGGCCTGACCCTAGACCGGGTCGTAACACTTAACAGAGAAAGTTGTTAACGAAATAAGTTGACCACAGTTCCATATGTTAGGTTTAATGAAGCTGGAAGTTTGTCAAGAACTATGTTAAACATACTTCATGAGACAGGCTCCTGATATGCTCCGACTTCAGAACATTTGCAAGGCAGCGTGATTGTGCTGCAGCCTTCCATGCATGAAATGTAGATAAATGTACGATAACAGTAGCCTATAGGCTAACATAACCCAGTAAGCTTTAGCCATTTGAACAAAAAGCAATACAGAGGCTGTGAAAGCCGTGGAACTTTCCCAGTCTTTACATTGCAAAGTTAGAACATAGTAAACTTAGCATTGTATTGTAGCCTCGTTCACTAGCTAGCTCTCACTGCGAGTTATTTACATGCTTTAGATCGGTGCTGTATTACAGCCACTCGGAAAGTGAATAAAGCAATGTAGGTGTTAATTCTGTAATCGAAAAACATTTCCGGCATTTGGCAGACGCTCTTATCCAGAGCGACTTACAATTTGATAATTTTTACACAAGAAGGCAAAGGTATTAGGAGTCTTGCCCAAGGACTTTTACTGGTATAGTGTAGAGTGCTTTCCCAGGCAGGGATTAAACCCCAGTCTAAAGAGTAGCAGGCAGAGGTGTTACCCACCACACTATACCAACCTCTAAAACACTCGAAAAGATGTTGAAAAAGTTACTTTCTCTTCTTCTAAGTCTTCAGGGTGAATCTTGAGAAATATCTGTTCAGTTGCTGTCAAAATTCACAGATAACGTTGCTATGGGAATCCGAGAAGATGACCACTAGCATGTTATACTTGAACCTGTTTAACTACACAAAATACTAATGTTACATTTTACCCTGCAGTATGCTGTGCCCTGTTCTCACTGCTATATCTGTTCTATGCTTTCTTCTGTGTGCGTGTGGTGGATTAGTCTTAAGCTGGTGCTCAGCTGGTGCCATGAGGCAGTGTTTCATTAGACTTAATGAGATTTTGACAGTGCACCCCCCCCACACACACACACACGCACCCTCTCTCTCTTTCTAAGATCATTCTCATTCGCCTTTCATGGCAGCACAATGAGAAGAAGGCTTTCAATATTTAATCAGGGAAGTGGGGGGGGGCAGAAAGGGGCTTTGCCAGAGGGGGGATCATTCTTCACTAAACACCAAATGGATCATTTTGTAAAGCACGAGGTTTTGAAGACAAAGCAGACACAACATTTGCTCAGGGTACTGCAAATATAAAGTATAAATGGAAATGGAAATGTGCAGTGGTTTTAAATGAAGCTGTATCCTGGGTTAAGTAAGTTTATCCTTGTAACCCATGCTTCTGAGCCAGGAAATCTCTTAAATCTAATGTTTCTTTAAAAAGAATTCCACTAATTTTTCACAATCTCTGCAGAATTTGATCGTTAAGATGTAAACAAAGTCATTCAGGGTGGTTTGATGTCAAATGTTTTGTTCTAGAGAAACTTACAAAGTCAGAATTGTTCAAGGTGGTGATGGGAACCCAACATCCGAAGGGTTTAATGCCTATAAAATGCTACCTCATTATTATTTTACCATTATCAGCATTAGATATAAAAACTAATTTTTTGGTCATTTTTACAGTAAATAAAATGGCTATTTTAACATTGTAGACATCTCAAGCCCTGGCTCATATCATCACTACTGCAATTAAGTCTGAGTACAACGAGCCATCTCACATCAAACCAACCAAAATTCTGGTTTACACAATTTTCCCTTCACCCAAAATATAGTCGATTAGTTTGGTGTCTGGTGTTTGCTTCAGACTTGAAGAGACTAATGTAGCTAAAAAAGGCTGTTTCTAGCTATAAGCAGTATAAGCAGTGGCTTAGGGCCCCCAGGTCACTAAAGAGCCCCCAAGTATTTATTTATTTTCAAAAATGCAGTGAGTCCAGAGATTTTCTTACATTCAGTCTATACAAAAATTAGGTATGTATTAAATCTTATGTACAAAAGAATATGATTGGGGCAGATGGGTTGTGGGGGGCTGCCCCAAATGTTCAGAAACACCCCTGGCTAAAAATAATGGACCCATATAGCTACAAATTAACATTATGCAATCTGCATGTCTAATTCGCCATATAGTCATAAGGAACACCTCTGGTCAAATTACATGTTTAGTTGATTAAGTAAAAACAGTTCACACATTCTCTACAGAGAATTAACTTAAATACGGCTTTTCCTGCAAATTTTAGTGCACAATTTATTTGCTTAGTTTAACACATTGGAAAAAAATTAAATAGATAAAAAAATGTGCCATAACTTTTGTACAGTCTACACTGTTTTTTTCCAAAATATGTGTTCTCTGTAGAGGATGTGTACTTATTTTTTACTTAGAAAATCAACATGTAAATTGAACAGGTGTGCCCTAACTTTTGCACATGACTATACTTACTTCAAACAGTGTGTAGTTGTTAAGCAAGGACAAACAGACATGCTTATGTGGTTTCTGACATTGTTATCTACAGTACAGGCTAGAAGATAGCTACTACTACTGTTTTTAGCCTTCTGATTTTGTCTATTTTCTTAGATAACAGTTTGTCATTTAGCATCAGAGCAAGTCTCTTCGAGATTAATCAACATAGTTTGAGGCAGGTATGTAGGTATGAAGTGCATGATGGTAATTGAGGCTTATAAGCTTCTATTACTTTACTTTACTACTCTATTACTAACATTAGCCCTGCAGCTCCAGACCAGAGCAAAACTGAAGAAGAAAACTTCTGACATTATACATTATCACTTGCCACATTTAAAGTCAGAAGAAAATTGTGTAACCTTGATTTTTCACTTTAAATATTCCTTTTAATCTCCTTGCATCTTCCTACGCACATACCATTTATATACATTCATCTCTCTCTACTGCAGATGCTGAATGATAAACACGTTATGGTGCGTGTCGGCGGTGGATGGGAAACATTTGGAACGTACCTGCTAAAGCATGACCCATGCAGGACAGCTCAGCTCACTTGGCCGGGACTCAAACCCTGCAAGCCCACCGGCAGGTCCCCCAACACCAAAGAGTCTTCACGGGACAGCTACCTGGTTGTAGGCACGCACTCCCGCCTCAGAAAATAACTCCCTGCCTTAATTTGTGCAAGAGTTGACCAACGTTGTGATCAATGACCAGCCATGCCTTGTACTGATATCTCTTGTGTATCACTGTGTTGAGTCAAGAAAAGAATGGACAGCTAAAAACTTTGAATATTAAATGGCTTCTGGTTACAGCTTTATGTTTTTTAATAAAGAAACTGTAAAAAAAAAAATAAAAAAATACATTCCAACAAGGGATAATGGTATAAGGTATAAGGACTTTTTATTTTTAGACAGCTTTCTTTTATTATTATTATATTTTTAACATTTATTTTCCTTTAAATCTAAACTAGCAGTGAAAAACATAAGGGCAGGCTCTCTAGAGAATGATCATTTACATTTCTGATGCTGTGTTTGTTTACTTGTGCTGACTGATAATATGTGATGTGATTCTAATTCATCATTTTTATGAAATATGTGATTTTAATGTTTGGGAAAAACATCTATTTTAAACTGTCATATTTGGTGCATGAGTAAAATGTCCATTATCATCCACGAGGTGGCGCCTGGTGATAAGCTATGCAGTGGGTTCTGACCACACATATTTGCAGCTTTAGGGATTTAACAAGCCCATACATTACATTTTTCTTGCATTTAATTTTTCCCTGAGCTTCACTGGTGTGATGATGTATAGGTTTATGTACCAAAACTAGTCATAATTCATTTTTATATCACCATCTTCCAAGCTTTCTTTATCCCCTTGAATTAAACAGGTTGTTTTTGTTACTGTGCCTTTAAGACATATGTAAATTAGCCCAGTTCTGACTGGCTGCCCTATTTTATACCTCACTCAAAAAGCATTCCATGCAGTGAATCGCACCTTATAACTTCAGCGTGAATGGGCGGAGCTAAACTGCTATAGGCTAAATAGGCAAATATATGTAAGTAAGTTGGTTTGAGGCTTAGATTCCTTATATGGACTGTATGGACTGATGAGTGAATGGTATGTTTTGTATTTTTTGGTGATATGGGCCCTTTAAAACTTTATTGTTCTTCCTTTTATTTTTTTTCCTTTTTTGCCTGTATTAAATACAGCATATATGATTATGGTGAGTCCATATTTTCATAAGCAATGTCCTACTTTTTAAACATGAATTTTGTGAGCATCAAAGCCAAAACCTTTTTCTATTGCTATAAATGAACGTACACAAACGACAATGTAAATGTTAATTACAATTTATTTCTTTAAAATAAAAATAATTAAAAAAAGGACACAAGTCTCTTAATACATTGAAATAAATTCACTGTCATAATGTCATGCGCGACAATGATTGTTGTGTTCTTGACCTGCTTTATTGAATTAACCGATAAAAATGGCTCATACAAATTTAAAATGGTGCTACTTTGACTGCCAAAATAAAGGATGGCTATTGTACAAATGTCTCCAATTCCCCTAGGAGCTGCTTGCTCTTTCTGCAATTACATATGTGCTTTTTTCACTTTCTCTCTCTTTTCATGTTTATCATGTGTCTTTAAAGTTATGACCCTTTGGCTATATTTATTGTATTAATGACGCAGTCATTGCATCTATAATTGATGGCTGTTTACCTTGTTTACCTAATTTTCCTGTGCTTTTGGTTTTGTGTTATATGTCATGCTAAAATATGCCGCTTCAACATATTATATACCACACATTTCCTTTAAAACAGAGCAAAAATTATTAAAACATTCTACCTACCGTTCCCTATGGAATCCTAAAAGGTCATATTACCGTATTTACTCTGCTGATCTGCTCCGTTTCCCTATGACAATCATCTAATTTTCGAGTTAATTATGTCTTTATCACAATATAAATGTTGTTTTCCTGAGATAATGGGATATTTGCCAGATTGCCCAGTGGTCCAGCCTACATGAGTTGCTGTCTCTCACTGAGTCACTGACTGACTAAGTGGCTTACTGATCGATCAAGTGTCCCTTACACTAACTGCTGAAACGTGTGCATGCACGCGTCGCCCGAGACGAATGCCAGCGCTACACACCTAAATTAAAGAAACAAATTTATCCTCCAATGTAGGCTAACATCAATAATGGGAGAAAGCAGAAACCACATTCATTTAAAGACATCATGGATCTTACAAAAACAATGAAGCCTGTTCCAAATAATGAATTCAGCAACATAGTTTTGAGTACTTTGTGCTTGGGTTCAAGCTGTGTGTGACAATAGTTGGAAATGCCTTTAGTATTAGTGTTATTTAAAAATTTGTTACTCTTTCAGATGAGGATAAAGTCAGCATTACTAGCACAAACCCAATAAGTGCCCCCAAATGTAAACTGGAATCATATTTTAATATGATTAATATGTTAATCACTATTTGTAGAATTATCACTTTGCAAAGTGATATGTAACATCATCTAGCTCAAAAGCTAACATTAGCGATATTAGCATATATGCTAGCAGCCAGAGAACAAATGTTTTTGTTGCTCATATTTTTACCCTCTCATGAGAAAATGTAAAAAATTCTTTATGGTATAGGTAACTGTAGACATTTGAGAGAGGGTGTGTTAGTGTAGAGTCTGAATGAGTGTTTTAGTATGCTAATACTAAAGTCCTAAATGCTAATGCCAACAGTCCTAAAATCTGCGTTTGTGTGAATTTTAAGCTCGCTACAGCGCTATCAAGATCTGTCTTCATGGATATTTTCATGAAATAGCAGTAGACACAGCATGTTACAGTTAAAAAACACATTATTACAGGAATCCACAAGAAGGCAGATTATTCGGCCTTGTTATAAACAAGAAATGCTGACAGCACAAAGGATAAATCACTAATCCCCTAATTCTGATGTTCAAATGTGAAGTAATTTGACTAAGGTGGACCACACTGCACATAATACATGAGTTTGTTTTAATATTCTATACTGCAGACACTTCTGTAACAAATACTGTAGCCACTGGTTGTCCAGCAGAACTAGGGCTGCCTAGTTTCTTGAGATCCAGAAATAACAAAACTGTTTTCTCAAGATAAAGGCATCTTTAATTTGATACCTTGAAAAACAAAAGAATGTTCTCTCAAGGTAACAAGAGACAGTCACACAATGTGTAACAGTTCACTTGACAAATTTAGGACAGAGCCAGCATTAAAGCATGCTTCAGAAAGGCTTACGCTAAGTTCGCTAAGAGCATCCTTCTATCAGTAGGCTTATGGGATGTTGGTGTGATCTTAATAATAGGTCTTGGAAAACAGTGTTTCATCTTGAGATCTCAAGAAAAGGATCCCGTTATTACAACAAAAATTAAAACACTGCTTTGTTTGCGCGAGATTTCAACTTTACTATGTCTGGGGAAAATAAAAAGTTATCTTGAAATCTCAATCATTATCTCAGGAAAACAACATTGTTATCTTGTGATAATAACATGTATGAACTTAAAGAGGAACAACTTCATTCCTTTATCTCCGGAAAACAGAGCAATCCACACATAACACCATTTATACTTATAACTTTTTACCCCACTTACAGCAGCTGTGACCTTACGGTCATCCTCGGTTCTGAATAAATAATACTAATGTGCTCTGATCCTGGATCAGGATTTGAAAGTCTCTGTGATCTTTGCTCATTTGGTAAGCACTTTTGAGGCATCATTAGTTGATTTAAAACAACTGTGCTTTTTCACACATTATATCCATATTCACTACAGAACTCAGACTACAGTCAGTACGTTTCATATTTGCACTGACAGTAAGAGTGAGTTGGCGCTTTCAGTTTAGATAAAACATTACTAAGCCTTCGTATCTGATTGGGATGTACTGACTTGAGAAGACAGACAAGCTCCCCGAGCCTGTATCCACTCATTACAGAGGTTTTACAGCACACAGGAACGGCTGTGGCTGAAGGGAAGTCTGGGTAATGTAAACATTACAGTACATTACATGCCAATATACAATATGTACCCTCACTATACCAAACAGAACACACGCTTCTATACACCATCCAATAACTAAGTGTCATTCTACGTGATCATTTGTGATCATGTGCGATTCAAATTGACATTGTGCAAAAGTTGGATTCCCCGCTGTGCTTCAGTACTGAAGACTTCAAAGCCCTCTATGCAATGCAAATCTAAAGTTTAAAATGTGTTTTCTCTTTTCAACTGTCATAAATAATAGGATTTCTGTCATGAGCTCACAACAGGAATTCATCTCTACAACAAATGATGCTCAGAAAGGCTTTTTACAAACATCGCTGTAAAAGTAAGTCAGCTCAATTATTCATACCGTGCGCCAACATGGACTGAATTATGACTAATTCCTCAAAACACTTGAGACTATGGTCGCCCACTGTCACCGTCTTAACAGGGAGAACAAAAAGAGGCTTCATTCTTAATCCAGCACCATTTCGTATAAACAGAGTCCTGAAATCTACACACAAAAAATGGATTTATACATACAGACTCACAGAGGCCCCAGAAAGTTTGCTCCTCAAAGCTGTAGGGTTGATGTTTCTTTTATCTCTCCATTCTGCTTATCCCTTGTTCTGCTCTGCTCTGATGGAGGGTGTGCTCATCTTTGTCAAAGTTCTCAAGCTTAAGTAGCCCTCTTTTCAGTTCCTCGTCCACATCCTTCGGCTCGGTGATAACCACTGTTGTGTTTTTGCTGACAAAGCTCCAATCAGGATTTGCTGTGGCAGGCGGGTTTTTGTACTGGCGCAATAGAGGCCATTGTTAAAAACAAAAACAGTGCTACAAGGTAATGAAGACTGAGGCCTGAGAGGTGTTTAAACAAGTCCTGATTGGGCTTTTAAGGGCCCAGACACACCAAGCTGACCATGAGGAACTAGCGCCAACTAAGGTCGACTGACGATTGCATTCATCAGCTCCCCATCGCTTCTCATCTGTGAAAAACTGCACACCACAAAGACTACAGCAGACTGCCGACATGTACATACTTAATGAAAGTGAAAAGGAACAGCTCTCTGTAGCAGGAGTCTGTAAAACTGTAAAAGTGCAGTACACAAAGTAAAAAATCTGATAATTAAATGTCTCACAACCTTTAAATGTCTGTGTTTAAGCCAAACCCAGAATGTAGCAATAAAAATTAGAATTAGAATTAAAAGTATAATTTTATAAAAAGTCTGATGGTTTTGGTGTATACTATGGTAAAGTATTTATGTATATATTTTTTCCAAATAAAACCATTTTGGATGCTAAAGTGAACCTATTTTTTAGATTAACAATGGCATATTATTCTGGGATGTCCCTTCACTTTGAACATGAACTATATGTTACAACTGAAGAAAACCCAAAATAGTTTATTGGGCAAAACAGTAAAAACAAAAGAAGTGAAAAATACAAAAGACAGATGTAAATATTGCTTTCTAACCCCACCATGATAAAGGAAAGTGCATTCTCTGAGCCTGGCAAAAATAGTGCTATATATTGTTTTAATTCTGAATTTCTCTCATTTGTCTTTTAAATGTGTCTCTTACACTCAGGCTGTCACTTACGAGCATAACTATTATAAGCCCATGCTATCAGTTTTAGCTGAGGAGCTGTGGAGCCTCTCAGCTTCCAGCTCGAGGCCGCTTCATCGCCTGAAGCAGCTGGCAGAGTGAGCAGCGCTGTTGGCGGTGTGCACAGAAAGCCAGCTAGTCTCCAAGCTAGGCTAAAGGCTAAAGGCAAACACCAAAAGGCCAGTTTTTCCTTTCACTCTCTTTCCCCCCTTTAACTAATTATCTCATTACAATCTGATGTCTGCTTCTTCGACAACAAACTGGACTAACTCACCACACGGGAGGTGAGGAACTTTCTGTATATTCATATCTTCAGTGTATTCTGCACTATATGTATGCTGCATTATCAGCACTTAATTCTGCCATACTAGTATAAAGGTAATGACAAAGGTTGCCTAAAAGGTACTGCTTGTACATGTGTGTGATTCTATGATGAAAAAATTAAAAAGTTCATGAAATGAGTGATTCTATGTTTTATTTTATCTAAGCATGTGATCAGAGCTTTTGTTTTTAGCTTTCATGTGTTATGGTTTAATCTTAACAATATTACTTTTTTCTTGTCAGGAATACGACATTCAAATACTATTTGTTTACAATTTCGGATATTCAAATAGCAAAAACAGTGATACACTATTGCATGGATGTTCAAAATTTAGGCTGTTCTCTATGTGTGCTGTCTTGAGACGCCGTTTGCTTGTTTTGTTTTGTTTCATTTCTCTCCTTGCGTGCTGCTCACTCACAGCCGATCACTAACATGCTCAATCGGCCAAAACAGTGCTGACAAGAGCTGACTAGAACCAACACTGTGGGACACATCACACAAACTATGGGCGACACTTCACCATGACACTTACTGATGGCCGACAGTTGTCTTGGTGTGTCAGGGCCCTAAATGTCTACCAGATGCAAAAAAGGCAGTACAAACCACTGAGAGGAAAGAATACATGGCTTCTGGCTGGGAGTTTGCCCCTGCTTGTTTGTTCCTCAGTGTCAGATTTCAAAGAGAGATTGTGTCTGTGTGCAGATGTGATATTGTGAAAAGAGAGCACCATTTTAAGATGAAAGAGAAAGAAACAGTCGCCTCCAGGCCAGTTCTTGAGTGAGTGAGCAAGACAAGAGCAAAAACACTGCTGTGAAGAGCTCAGTGCAGCCCCAAAGTGTGACGAACGAGATGGTAGACAATGTTTAGTCTGCATGGTGTATGTGTCTGTGTCTAAATGTGTCTACATTTTCTATGCTGAAACTGGGCTGGCTACATGTTTGGTCTTCTTCAGTGGAGTGGAGGAATGGCGCTTGGTTGTCCTGACCATCATTCAAATGGAGCTGAATATTGTTTTATCTGGCCAACTGCAACAAAGGGCCTTAAAAACACACCTCTTATCTCAACAATGACGAGTGGTGTGAATGCAGAACAGAATGGTGATATCAAAAGTCCAGCTGTGGACGGTTCCACAGACATTGTGAAGATGTTGGAGGAAGGTGGGTCCGGCAGTCACCTCTCATTCACACGGTCCCATTCTCGTGCCGCGGCTTGTGGACAGTAGTGCGGGCTGAGGTGCTGCTTAGAGAGGGCGCTAATGTGCACAGGAAGCCGGCCAACAGGGTGAGGCCCAGGCCACCCCAGGCGCAGAACATTGACCAGCCGTAGCCGTGGCTGATGTCTTCAGGCAGGCCGTAAAGGTAGCGAGGGTACCGTGACAGCTCAAAGTTTATGCCCGCCACGCACGTACACAGAGAGATTATACAGCAGGTTCCTAAAAGAGGAAGAAGGACCAAAGTATAGTCATGGTAGATAGATACTATGGTAGATAGAAAATTAGCACAGTTAGCACAATATTACCTTGGTATAGAAAATATACTGAAAGTGTTTAATTATCACTAAAAGGTACTGGAAAAAGCATACAAAACACAGAAAAATGAGTGAATGGAAGTAAATACATGTGAATGTGTGAAGGTCCAATCAGAATGCAACTGACAAAAGTTGTGGCAATTAACAGAACCCAAAACCACAAACAATACTGGACACAATGCTACAATATTTATATTATTTACAGCTGTGAGTTTCTGCTGTTTACTTGACTTTAGGAGCGTAACCTGAGAGCAGATAGTCATATTTCACAATTCATAGTTGAAAACTGACAATCATATACGTCAGTAAAGCAACGTGAATCTAAACTACACAACCAAATGTATTAACAGGGATGTCTAAGTTCTTTGCTATGGCTCTGCAGGTTTTTCTATTCAAGTGTTGTTTAATAATGTTGCTCCTGAGAACCTAAAGAAACTCCTTCACCTTCACCATGATTGCCACTTGGTGCAAGAACTCTTCCCAACCAATGGCAACATATTTTATAATAATGCCAGGTGCAATTTGCACAAGATGTTTGTTTATTTCTATAGAGAGCACAATTCTGCACACTTTGATGCACAAGTTTCAGTTAGAAATCAACAAAACATGTAATTTGACCAGATGTGTTCAAAGTTTTGTATGCTGAATTAGTTCAAACTGTGGTCCCAAAAAAATAAATAAATAAAATAAAAAATGAAAAACCAACTAAGTATTCAGACCATAGATATTTACAAGCATTATGTTATGATCTATTTAAACCTAAGTGAGATGGTAATAAGCTAAACAGACACAAAATCAACATTTATAGGGCTCTTTTTATTGGGAGGTGGCTGTCCCAAACCCTAACAACTAAATTTTAACTTGTTTTTTTTAATTATTATTATTGCTTTTAAAAAGATCCCTTTGATTTCCTTTAAAGCTAAAGGATTTAGATTTATCACGAGTTTCATTATTTAAATAAATAAATAAATAAAAATGTTGCTCTATGTTTTCATGTCTCTACCAAAACACAGAGTTGTGGTCCCTAGGCGGAGCCTTATTTTAGCCACACCCCTGCATTTTAGAGCAGGAAGTGAGGCTGCATACATGTCCCTCATGACCACATGGTGAGCAGAAATGGAATGGTCGATCATTCATTTTAATAAAATAAACATAATTAAGGTATTGGGTCATTCTAAGCAGAATTATTTTAGTTTTAGTCCAAGTCAAGTTAAAAGTCTAAGATGTGTTTTCAACTCTGACATTAAACCGATTCAGCAGAATTATACGCTGTGTCAAAATTTCATAATCAATGGATTAATAGAAATTCCAAAATTACTCTGAATAAACAATTTCTCCATTAACTTCTAAAAAAAAGTTAAGAACATGTTTCTCCTCCTGTAAAGTTACCTTTCTGGAGATATAACATTTTGTCCTGACAGTGATGATATGTGATATGTATGTATATTTATTATAGTGTCTGAATACTTTTTCATTGTTCATGCTTATGAATATATACTTTTTAAATACATTATTTAAAGTCAAAAGTAATTTGGTGTGTAAATTTGAAATGTATGTAATATTTAAGGTATACTGAATAACAAAAACAAAGGTTTCTGAATACTCATTTCTTCTCACTCCTCCTCACTGCCATTTCTTTCTGTAGAACATTAATAAATAACATGAGGTCATGGTAAAGTTAAGATTATTCAGAAAAATAAATTACATTCACAAACAAAACACTTACAGAGATGACAAGATGGTCAGTGTCCAAACTACACCATGTGATATAAAGTCACCACTAGATGGTGACACAAGCACAGACTGGATTTTTGATGAGAGCACAGTGGTATCTAATTTAATTATGTATTATCGCAGTGTAAGATTAATGTAATGTTTTCAGCAGCATTCCCTTAATCCAATACTGCTGCAAATACATAAACTCAACATTTAGCATCATCTCCTCTAATCAAACAAACAATCATACAGAATTCTGTGTCCTCTTTCTCTCTCACACACTCACATGAACTCACACTTACCTCCCATAAGGAAGAGCAGTCCAGCTACATACTGCATGAGATCATGTTGTTGGCAGCAGCCCAGTACCCCGATGATCCATCCGAAGAGGATGATGGAGACGGCCATGCCAACAAAGCCTGCGGTCATCCTCCGCAGATCTACACACACCAGCAGAACTCTCTTTAATCACTGCTAAACCTTGGCCAGCTAAGGCATCACATGTACGATGACTCAGTGAATCGTTGTAGGTTATGAATCATTTTGATGTATGATATTATAAATTTATAGAACTCTACATTATTAAAAAGATGGTTCTCCAAGGGTTCTTTAACAAAGACAAAGGTTCTATATAGAGAGTACCAGAAAAGGTTCTTCTACTGTTACAAGCTTGACAAAGTAAAAATAAAAGAACCTTTTTCATGCTATATAGAACCATTTTCAAAAAGGTTCTATATAGAGCCATATACATATACATATACAACACATTCTCCATCAGTCTGAAGAACCACTTGACCATGCAAGGAACCATCATGCAAATGGGTGCAAGCGTTCATGGTTCTATACAGAGTCATTGTCTTTACTTAAAGAACCATCTTTTTAAGACTATACGGTTGGCTTTACGTTGTGAAACCCTCATGCAACTTTGGCTGCTTAAAACCTACATGAAAATAAACTGCACCTGAGTTACACACTGTAAAGCATCCTGCAACTCATTTGAAACTCAGCTGTAAAAGTTTCAAGCATCTGAACTTCACTAGCTTCACAGAACAAGTGTAACAGCTGTTTAAGCAGCTGCTTGTGCCACCACTTATTCTTCTTTAGCCTAACTGTTACTGTGAACCATGTACCTATATTCATTTTCTACTCTTTAACCACACTAATTTTACACAGAGCTCAGAAGTCTTTGGGATCAAAAGAAAGAAATGTAGTACAGAAGGGGATAACAAGATGTGGTCCTGATTAACCTGTAGAGCCTCTAGGCCATGATGGGTAAGGCGTTGAGTACAACCATAATGGCTACTTAAACATTCATTTTCAAAGGCTTAACTTATACAGAACAGGTATATATACAGAAAGAAAACTCAAACATAAAGTAAAAAAAAACATAGATATAACACAGATATATGGATATAGAATAGACAGTTTTGCCCTTCAGTTCACTTACTTTTAACAATTTTGTCTTTATTTTATTCATGAGGAAACCATGTATACATTTATTTGAATTGAGTAAATTTAATGTTTTACTTTTTCCCCAGGGAAGTGCTATACAAAAGTAAACCATATAAGCTACATCTGCTGTTCTCATGTGAACAGCAAAAGAAGAATATATGATGAACAACAGTAAAAGCTGCCTTTAAAAAGCATACTTAAAATGGTCATGTGCTATGAACTCATTTATACATTATATAAAACCTCTCCATGTGTCATAATCTGATTTGAAGCTCAGACCATGTAGACAGTTTAGACAGGAGCATTAGAGATCACAGTGGGGTTTAAGACTTACGAAGGGCATGCCACTCGTCCTGCCGGATGGTCTTAGTGATGTTGACAGGCAGGTTTCGGGGCAGGATGGATGAAGTGTAGTGGTACTTCACTGGAGTACATCTCTGAATCACACCTAATGTAACCAACACAGAATAATAGTTCATATGAGCTTTGAAAACAGCTGTTCTACGGAGAGTCAACTACTACACTGAAGCACGAAACAATGTCAATATTAATTAATTTAAAATAAAAAGTATGATAAAAGCATTGTTAGGCACTCTATAATACTGTTAAACAAAGACGCAGTATGTGATACAATCTAGAATGAAACTGTGTAATTAATGTACACAATCTGTAAAAATCTGTAAAAGTCTGATTGCACAAGCCTCCTCATTCCACTGACTCCTCAGCCATGTCAAAAACGTCTTGAGTGCCAGAAATCATACCAGCTAGTGACTTCTAGCATTATCAAATTCTGTGACGTCAAAAGCCGTAGTTAAGTGGGTGAACTGACTAAATCAAGTTCTTAAAGCCACAGAATGGTAAACTGTATTTACACTGGCATAGCTGAATAAGCAGAGTTCGGTACACAGAACTGACATACTGTCAACTTCAAACACTGTTTTTTCTCTTTTAAATGCAAAGCTCGCATTCGCAAAAGAGGTCGGTAAACGGGCCAGTTACAGAATCCTAAACTGTTACATTACAGTCTTGACTCATTAATATCTGTGCCCCCAAAATTTACATACATCTATGTAGACATCAGAGAACAACTTTAAATACTGAATAAATGCATTCTATGGCACCTTCAAAATTTGGTCAGTGTGAGCAACATGACTTACTTTATGGCATTTATGTTTGTTGGGCAGAAGTCAAACCAGCACTTTGCAGCAGTGTAAGAGGCACAAGAATATTCTGCTGACTGTGATTCTGACTGAAGATGACTCTCACATATTATCACTAAATAATTCTCCACTCATTTAGACCAGAAACAAGTAGCCAATAAAAGCAGCTTTCGTCAATATTAAGTCTATGGATAGTGACAGCTTTAAAACGCAAGTAATTTCCGATGATGGAGGGGCTGAATGAGATTCAATCTCTCTTCTGGACCAATGGAAGTGTGATGATTTGAATCCAACTCCACCCCCCTGGGTGGATGCCAGCAGTATCAAAACGTGCTTTCCAAGTAGCCAGTATAGAGCATTGGATAAGATCCAGTTAGATCTGATAAGATCCAATTAGATTGCAGAATTTAACAAGCCAATCAGAATATATGATTCACAGGGCTTATCAGAGTGTAGGATTCCAAAAAAAACAGTACAGCCCAGTACAGGGCTCAACCAGTCATTCAGATTGCAGGATTCAACTAGCCAATCAGATTATACGATTCCAATAGCCAATCCGAGCGCAAGAATTAACAAGCCAATCAAAAGGCTAGATTCAAGTAACCAAACAGACCGCAGGATTGTATTAGACAAGCAGAGAAGACTAAGAAGAACCAGCATAGCTATTCTTAAAACTGCAATTAATGGTTCCAGCAATTTCATGAATACATTAAGTGCTATTCAGAAAGTCAGACTTGTCAGATATTTTACAGAATAGTCAAATTGCTTCTAATCTCATCCACTACTCTGTATAATATTCACAGCTTTGGCTTTGAGCCTAAAGCAAATGCTTTGTTTGCTTGGCCTCTCGCTTCACCTCTGTTACCAAGCAGATGAGGGAAAGTTCCTGGAGAGCAGAACACACAGCCACCACTAACAAAGTTACACGAAATCCGCTTCTGAGGAGTCTATGAGTCATCTTGAATATCCTGAATGACACGCGCAAGGCTGTTTGTCTGGTAAACGGGAGCGTGTGCGTTGAGGTAGACAGACAGACAGAAAGAGAGAGAGAGAGAGAGAGAGAGAGAGTCAGACAGCCAGCTGTGACACAGAGCATCAGAACCGAGTGTCATTCTTCCTGATCAGCCTCTAATTAAGCTAAAGCAAGCAGGTGAGAAAATCACACCAATTAGCCACCATCAAATATTACAGGAAGCACATCTCAGCCACGAGTCAACTCTGCATGACAGAAAATCAATCAGTAGAATACATATCCTATACAGACTATCCGTTTAATTATTAAACTTCTGAAACATTTAGTTCATTAACAGCAACTGCAGACATTGGAGCAAATCAGCTGTCATGAGAATCACTGCACTGCACTGCTGATATATCTACACATACACTGAGTCAACAGTTTATTAGATATACCTACCCTGTAGCTACAATTACTCGCCATTTTATAAGGTATGTCTACATGTAAGCACTTTGTGTTACTACAATGTATTATATCATCCAATAAGAGTCTCTTAATTCAATAGGCTTAAGTCTCGAACAATACATTCAACAAACTAGAGCTAGTACTTAATCTAATACTGTTTATATTGCAGAAATCATAAAGTATAATAAAAATTGTACAATTAAACCCACAATGAGGGCAAACTCTCAGAAAGTATTACCTTAAAATTGAGAGCAAGGAGGAAAAGCACACTTACAGTGCATTAGCTTTGGGGCTAATATATTAGCTCGTGGCTTGCATATTTTTATAAATTATTACACTTTTATAACGCTGAATGTTCCAATAAACTGAAAATGGAAACATTAACACATTAACATAAGGCAGATTTTCAGGCACTCCTTATTTTTTCTGTAACAAATCCAGACACCTCTGTATCATATCGAACCAAATTATGAATTCTGTAAAACGTTACAGCCTTACTTTTTAGGGATTTAATAGTGCACAATAGTGACACCTACATGGTAGCAGCACATCAGTATGTACTATGGCGCTAAGTGTGCATCAACAGAAGAAGTGTTACTTGGATTTATACACACCTCAGTGTCACTACTGGGTTGAGAACAGTCCAGTTCAGAGCATCAGATTCTTATAGCCAATCTGAGCCAATTAGATTGCATAACTCAACCAGCCAATCAGAGTACAGGATTCAGAAAGTCAATGAGCTGGATTTAAATAGCCTGCAGGGTTTCAATAGTCAATCACAGTGCAGGACTCAACCAGTAAGCAAGTAACCACCCTCTACCCCACCCACCAATGGAGAGGGACCACCATTCTCAGCCCAGCAATGGCATCAACACACTCGATCCTGCACTGGAGTTGGATTCCCCTGAGCTAGAGGATGACTGACTCATACTGTGAATGGAAAAAGATGAGCTATATAGTCTCTAACTGTCCACCTACAAGGTGGACCAACAAGGAAGGTGTGTTTAATAAAACAGCCAGTATGTGTATACAATGTTTTCAAACTCCAGCAACACTGTTGTGCCTGATACACTAATACCAGTATAATTACCATGCCATTGTCAATGTTAGTGCTGTGCTGAAAACGGTCCATGAACCATTTAATAAGAAGTCAGCGGTGGCCCAGTGGTAGCCTTTTCTACACTGATGGATGGGGCACAGGGGTCCTGGCAAACAGATGGGCCACAATCTTAAACACAAAGCTTCCTACATGATTCGTGGTAAGAAAAACCCTTAATTGGTGTAGAACCATTACATTATGTGGAGGTTCTTGCACATCTCCTTAGTAAAAAGCAATCTACTGAGAGGTTCTTTAGGAAACCAAAAGCAAATGGTTCTTCTACAGCATGCACCAAAGAACCCTTTTTGGTACTTTTATTTTTAAGAGTATACATGCAATAATTGTAAACCTACAAAATACACCTTTATGGTAGGTACATCTGATTAAATGGCAAATGAATATAAGTACAACGGAGAGTGGAGAACAATCCAATGTTGATGTAACACTGATTTTCAATGTGGCTGAAATGGTTTGAGAAAAACATGCTTTTGGTCATCTTCTCATATTATATTAGCAAAGTCATCCATGAATTTTTACAGCAATCACATTCATGAAGAAATTCATCATGAGGGTCTGAACCATGAAAATAACCTTTTTCCCACCAGCTTTTTTCCATTTACTAAGCTCTGTGAACTGAATTATTGTAATCTTGACACCAGTAATAGAACACTATTTTGAAGCATGTAACCAGCTCAAAGTGAGAGCTAGCCAGGCCCCTCCACCCTGGGGGTTAGCAAACTGCTTATTTAAAGATTTATTAAAAATGTAGATTAAATATTGTTCAAATTATTGTGCAGATATTGCCTGTTCCACTAAAAAAAATGACCACTGTTTGACACTAGCCCTATTTATTTTGTGCATTTATTGTTATGCATTCAGGTTGCATTCAAGCTTATCCGGTTCAAACACAGAACTGTACTGCAAGAACTGTGCTTATATCAACAGGGCTTATGAAAGGATGTTACGTTGCACTATGTTATTGTTACACCATGTTGGCAGGGTTCGTTCTTTTCCCTACAGATTGTGACTACAAGACTTGCCTCCCTGCCAGGATTTGTGCATGTTTATTTGTCAGCTAGTTTTACATTAGCAAGTTGTTTCAACATGTCCAGATAACATGGCTAATCTAGTTTTTGTTTATAGTTTTTTTACACATATCCATTGTTTTATCACTCTGTCGACATTAGCTGACGTTATCATACTCCAATAGTCATGAAGGAATTCTTCCCTAAAGAATTTATATCCTTTGTTCATTCCGGAATCCTGCATTGTTGTGTTTTTGGTGTTCTCCAAGAATTCTGGACGCATCCTTTAATTTCAATCTTGGCAACTATGACAAAGATGTAGTGACAGGCAATAGTGGAATTGGTTCTAACTGTCATTTACGTATTTTCGTTTCTTATGAAAAGGGTCTATTTCCTAGACTGTTACAGAGGCTAGTCTGTTAGAGTTAACCCTGCTAATGCAGTAAGCAACAAATGCACAATACCACTTTCGGCTGAACTGTTTACAAACAGTAGGAACTGAAAACAAAGTTTACATTTTCATTTGTGGTAGAGATGTGTAATAATTTAGAATTTATAAAATTAATGAAACTTTAAAAAAAAAACAGGCCCTGCCTACAGTTTTCTCTTCATACAGTCATCGAATTCCATGCTTTTTAAGTTACTTATGCATTACTGCCGACAACACCCAGCAAAGAAGCGAACTCTGAATTATGCATAGCCACTTAGAGGAAGGTGAACAATGCTGAAGATT